TGAAAAAACCTATGCTTCTAATCTCTCGTGGAAGTTTTTCAACCATACATCTAGAACAACTTGCACACTTTCTTTAACAGGTTTCCATCATCCTCTCTAAGTAGAAGTGACTAGAGCCACGTCCAATACATTTCTTGAAAATTACTAGTAAAAAACAGTTAGTTTTCTAGCCAACTACCAAAAAGATAAGAAGCATTATTAGGTCGTTGGATTCCAAAAGTGATGAAAATTGCACTCCAAACATATCTTACCAATGAAGAATCAAAGAAGAAATGTTGTATAACTACAAAAGCAAAAACCTAGACTACCTTTCCACCTCCTCTTTGCTTGATTATCCTTGGTTAAGATAGCCCCTTGTTTTTATATAGCAACAGAAAAAAAAAATATCTTCAAAAGGATTCTTAGCATCCAAATGAAATACTTCATTGGCACTATGTTACTGTTGATAGCCAAATAATATACTAGGATCAAAGTATTGCAAAATTTGGTCAAATTAGAGAACAAACCTGAACCTTCTCTACAAGGCCAGACCGACATTAATTGTACGACCAGACCATCATGCAAGTAGGACTGCCCTTTAGCATAACGACAAACCGACCTACGGCATAAGGTTGAACCGACCTTATGTAGGACTGGACAGGATCAAGAGTCCAAGTCCAATTTAGGTAATTCTCGTATTTTCTTGTCTGATGTCAGGATTTGTTAACTCCTATTTGATCTCTAAGCCTAGTTAGACGTGGAGAAGGCCTTGTAAACACAAAGCCGATTGAAACAACCACAAATCAATGAGAAAGAGGAGGGAGGGGAAAGGAAACTCGTTCAATTTTTTTTTTCTAAATGCACCGAAACAGTAAGTAGCGGCATGTCTCAAATATTTATAAAATTGTAATGGCATGATTTCAAATAGATAAATAGCAATGATCTAATTAAACAAAAAAAAATATTATACTAGAGTTTGTTTTCGAATTCAGCTATGTGAAAACAGCCTAGGCCAACCCAACATGGCTCGGCCCTGCTCTCTATCCAGACCAGGCCTAGAATAGCCATGGGCTTCAATCCCCGGACAAACTCAAGGCAACCTCGAGACCCTCTTTACTCCCATTGGCCCCTCCCCATAGACCGCCGGTGGACCGCATCTTGAACAAATCCGTTCACCTCGAGACCCTCTTTACTCCCATTGGCCCCTCCCCATAGACCGCCGGTGGACCGCATCTTGAACAAATCCGTTCACGACTCCTCCCTAACGTTGCCACCGCCACCCTCGCTGTTGTCCTTTTCTTCTCCGGTAACTCCCTCCTCCTCCATTGTCGTCCATCCGATCTAAGAACCCCTTCCTTTTTTTTCCATTAGATCCCCTTCTTCCCCAACATACCCAGATCCATCTAGCAAGATCCGCCTTGCCCGATCCCATGTGTTTGTAGATAGATTGGTAGGGGAATAAGCGTGCGGAGATTCTGATGCAACTGCTGCTGGTCAGTGGTGGTGGCGTTCGTAGTGAGCTACACTATGGTGGACTTTCCCTTATGTAGGAGGAAGGGGCCTCAAAACATGGGTTAAAAACAGATCCATAAGAGACAAGGCCACGTGTGGGGACCAAAGTTTTTAGCCTTTCTTGGTAGGTCTGGTTGAGCCTTCTTCATAATGACAGACTGCAAGGCGGTCTTCCTTGTACAAGTCGAGTTTTTATGAAGAGGCAGAGCCAAAAATAAAATATATTATTTCTTAGTCAATTGGTGGAGCTTTTCATGTTAATCCTTTTAGTAAATATGGATTAGATTGCATTATTACAAGGGAATCACTTGCAACAAGAGGCAGCTCTATCAACTATCAGTCTATCATCAACGGAACAGTTGTGTACATTGAATTGAATATTGCTACATTACAGCAGTTTTGTACAACCAGGCAGCTCAGGCAATCGAGATTTGATATGAAAAATTAATTAATTGAATAATGCCTTGTACTCCTAGTACAGAAATTCATCTCCAGCATGTGATACATCCTATATATTATATATGTTTGTATGCGTTAAATCTTTGCATGCATTCTAATTATATGTGTGTCACTGGCCGGGGCAACTGAAGGTGGTGGGGAGCCCATATAAGCATAATTGTGGTACAGGAATAAGTGAAAATAATGCAAACAACTCCAAGCAACACTGCTGTTCCCTTTCATAGAAAAAATATGCTTGGGAGCCATGGGGAACTACTTATATGCAAGTATGGCGAATCACAGAAGACATATTCACACTTGTAGGCATCTGCAAGGAACCATGTTTGCTTGTGACCCATGTTGTAGAAGTGTGTGTCGTACTCCGTATCATATGATTCACTACTCACAGACAGTATGTTGTAGAAGTGTGTATCAGCTTACTTCGTATCAATTAATTAACCTAGGTTACCATACGCGGAAAAAGATCACTATCAAAGAAATTGCAACATGCATTTTGTTTAGTTGCAATCAATCCCTGCATGGTGGCTACCAGTTCAAATATAATACGGCCTCGTACGTCATAATAGATTTTTTGGTTCCTCGTCAAAAAATGACATGAGACTGGTAGCGAACATTAAAAAAATAATATCACCGAGTCTTGATAATCATGTTGAATACTACTAATATACTACAGTACTAACTTCGGTATATAGCACCATACCTACATATATAAGCACAAGAAGCTTCTCTGAAAATTAGTTGAACGTACATATCTTCAACATCAAATGTGCGCTAGAAGAGAGATGCAAAATACATGACAAAATTTAATTAGAGCAAATGGTTTATACAGATTTATGCAACCTATGGATGGAATGTTTATGTTATGTTGTCTTGTCCTGTAAGTTGGAATGTTTGAAATTATTTTGACTTTTTTAAGGATTTGATAGCCTTATAAGCTGAGAATTATGTAATAATTGGTTGTAGTTTCAATAAGAAAAGACCAGGATTCCCGTTATCTTAAAAAAGATCTTCAACATCAAATTCCTGTTTCACAATTCGTATATGACTATACAAATTTATTGGCCATGCGTATTAAATAAAATGAAGGGGCTCCTGTACTATACAAGTGAGATGTATACTAGTACTAACTATTCCATAACATTCCGTCTGGCACACCAATTCTCTTTGTTAGACAAAAAAAAATGAATATGAATGGGAGCCATCCGGAACTCTTTGTGTTTAACAACAACCATTTGGTTTAAGCCTACATATTCTCCATGTTTTCAGGATCAAGCATTTAATTGGTTCAATGTATACCCTCCAAGCATTTGCATGAACCCCAAGTTGTGCTAGAACTAGATTTGATGAATTCATTTCAGCATAATCAGAAGAAGTTTTTTTCTTTGGATAGAGTGGGCAATCCAGGGATATGAAAACCTGCTCTAATGTAAAACCAGGTTTTCGACGTTTCATGAAAAAACAACTACATTTTAATTCCCACCGGCAAGCCATATCATAAACCAAACGATATCATGCGCTAAAAAAATCGATCAGATGCATTTCAAAGATAATCATATTATGAAGATATAATACATATTTCCTTCGTTTTAGTGTTTGAAATATAAGCCGTGCTCCAAGTATTTCAATGATAAATAAGTCAGAAAAATGATAATAAGATGAATGAGTATAAGAGAAAATGTTGTGTCTAACACAATAAGCATGAAAGTACTACCTCTTTATTTTTAAAATATTGGTCACATGTTTATGCATTAGCAATTGGATCGAGAGATTCAAATTATTTCTGTGACTGTTTTTTCACGTTGAATTGAGTTTAGGGGTTCTCTGAGTGATTTTTTTAGAGGGATGGAGTGGTATATTTTTAGGGGAGAAATGGCGACCTAAGTATTTAGTACTAGGTGAAACCCGCGTTTTACCGTGTGAGTTTAGTATGATAACAATAAGTACAAATAATGCATAACATAGCTAGACAACATAAACTTACGTAAATTGATGTAGTTTATGATAATCTAAAATTAAATTGCATATAGAATGATGATTCAAATATAAAAGTGAGGTGATGTGGCTTTATGAGACAAGAAATGGACAAAGATAGTTTAGACCATAGATTAATCATCTAAGACTAAAAATAATTGATGTGATATGACTTAACGAGAGAAGAGAGAAATAACATTAACTAAGTGAAGATGAACTATGTAGGTATATATGATGAAAAGATATATTGAAAAAGAATAATGTACTAAGTTTTACAAAAAAAAAAGATGAACTATATAGCTATATGTGTTATGTGAATTATGTGGGATGATGATTTAATATGATTGCATTTTAAAACTCTAAAATTAAATAAATTATAAAATTATAGCATGTTGGCATGATGTTTAAAAATGTAATAATTGTTAGTGGATAATTATGTGGTATCTTGTTATTGCATAATGATGTGGCATATTTACACGTTAAGTTTTAGGATTTAATAGGTTATATTTTTATAGTAAGATAGGATATGGCACAGTTGAATTTATTCGAGATTTTGTGCAAATTTGACTACTAATTTTTATTAGATAGTGTAAAGTACTTGTAATAAAAATTTTTGCCCATAAAAATTTTATGTTTCTATACTAAATATTTTGAGGCTAAGTTTTGAAAAAAGAAATTGTCCATAATATTTAGTTGTGGAGGGAGTAGTAGTTAACAACTTTGATAAGGGCTGTAGGTTATGGCACCTTTGTTTTCGGCTTAGGTTTTCAAACTCCCTGAATTATGTGATTTATATGGGCATGTATGCTTATTTAATCTTACTAGTAGGGATGAAAGTGGTACGGATAGTTTCCGAGTTCCGAACCTGTTTTCGGATACGGATAGCTTCAGTCGGATTTTCTTCGGATATTTTCAGAATCGGATACGGATTCGGATAGTTTTTCTCGGATATGAATTCGAATACAGTAGCGATGGTATCCGTCGGAACACGGAATCGGTCGGAAACTATCCGGGACTTTTTGCCGGATATCCGCAGCTCCCCATAGCCTAATAGCCCAAATATTTTTCGGCCCAAGTCCATAGCCAGGTTAACCCTAGACCTAGAGAGTGGCTGTGTGGGTGGGGGCGTGCGGCACTCCCCATTCCCCAACTCCCTCGGCATCGGCGGCGCATCCAGGTCCTGCGCGCCTGCAGCGCCGCCCCGCCCCTGCCACCGTCGTCCGTCGCCAGTCGTCTCCACCTCCCCTCGTCTTCCTCCTCGCCATCTCTGCCGGCGGCGCCGACGCCTCGCTGTCTCGGCCGCCACACCACCTCCACGCGGCGACGCGGCGACGCCGGTCGCCGCACCACCTCGACGACCACGCAGCAACGCTGGCCGCCGCACCACCTCCACGCGGCGACGCCTGCCGCCGCACCACCACCACGCACCGACACGGTGACGCCGGCCGCCGCACCACCTCCACGCGCCGACACCTGCCATCTCAACTCAACGATTCAGCATCTCGACAGGTTTGTATCGAATGTTCGCTCTCTTCTATTCATTGGATTGCTCTTGCATTTTTTTTGCATTTCACTGCTAGAACCTACAGTAGGTTCATCACTTCATATTGAGCTCTGATTATTTTGTTTTCTGTTATGCTGTAGATCTGTGATGGATTCCTCACATGCAACTATGCAAGTAGCAGCAGTGCAACTGTATGCTGTGCAAATGTAGCTTATCTGTGATGGATTTCTATGTGCAAGTGATTGAGATGTGGTGATGTAATGATGTGTGTGGTTTTTCATGATATGTTTCATTGGAAGTGAATTGTACAAGTGTTGTTTTAGATAAATAATGAGCTATATCTCTTCCTTGATTTGAGAAGCTTATTTTGAGGGGTTTTTGTACTTTGATAATTATTCGTTACCATATTCGCTCCGTATCTGTATTCGACAATATTCGATTCCGTTTTTGTATCCGGAGTTTCCGATTCTGAAAAAAATATGAAAACGAATATGGTAGAGCTAGTTTCTGTCCGTATCCGATCCGTTTTCATCCCTACTTACTAGTAAGGTAGCTGTGCATTGCAACAGGAAATTTTGTTGATCACGGAAAAAAAATCTGGCAATACAAAAGAAACTACAAATCATAATTGTTTAGTAGATTAATTTCAAAGCAAGATATCTGTTATCATTACAGAAGCATACTGCAAGCTTTTTGGCGCATAAAACAATCTCATGGCATTTATTAAAGGCAAAAATTATAAAAAGGCAATATAGATAGAAGACTACTATGAAAAATTGATAATGTCATACAAATAAAGCACAAACAAAAAATTATAGAACATCAAGCATTTCTAGATATGGTATTTCTAATGGATGATCACCTCAAATTAAATTACTTCATAGAGGTAAATAACTACCCTAATGTTGTGCATTTGTGATACTTCTTGATATCAGAATTCCATATTTGTTTTACAGATTGTGAATTAACCAAAAGGATAAAATGGCTCAATTATCGATTGAATATTCGACTGAAAACTGTACAATGGTGGACATAGGAGAATTTTTTGTCCGGAAAAATCACCTAACGTGCCTTCTCTGAAGATGAATTTGTGAACGATGATGTAAGTACAACTACCTATGATGAAGCAATGTTAGAATTTAATTGCCAAGATATTCTTTAGTAATTACAGATTTTTAATTGAATCAATAGGTCACCAGTGCATACATACACTGCACGAGGTAGCAAGCAAATAACAATAGGAAAGTGTATTATGAAAACCCATTTCTTTCTGACATACTTAAAGGGGCTGGGGTCAATGGAGTAGACGAAGATAGTGATAACTTTATTACAAAAATAGTGAATAATTACCTTTTCAATAAACTGGTATTATTTGGCTCTCTCTATTTGATAGGATATATAATATATATATATATATATGGTATTTCTAATGGATGATCACCTCAAATTAAATTACTCCATATAGGTAAAGAACTACCCTAATGTTGTGCATTTGTGATACACTTAAGAAAATCTCGTGCGCCGCTAGGGATGTTGTTTTCACATTCATTTTGTTGGTACATCAGTAGATTTAGCAAAAAAAAATTATCTTAGCTCATCACCATCCTGCACATTTATTTATAAGTTAAATATTTGTAATTATAAAATATAATATATGAATGATCAATGCTTGTCAGGGCTTACATTAATAGCTAGTAAATGCAGTTCTTCATTTTTTTCCATATACACATGAAGAGGTGAACAAGAAAACCAGATAAATTCCTAAGGAAATTGATTAGTTAGCTACCCTTGCATTGCACAATTAAATTTACTGGTTTAAACAAGTTTTTAGAAGATAACTTGCCTATCAAGAACCGGATTATTGACCATTATTTGCCTCCACAAGGTGATGTCTTTATTCCACCTAGAGCAAGGGCGTGCCTTCCACGTAGCTTTGTTGATGTGATCAGCAATAGTTAACAGTTTTACGATGTACCTCATATTTGGGTTATTTTTATATTCTGGAATAAGTGGATTAGGGTCTCATATATAGAGTGTTTTACTTTCATGGTCCAGTATGACAACGATAAAGCTTCGAGCATGGTGTACTGGTATAGGAATCTACAAAAGATCAACAGTCAAGATAATATAAAAAACACGGGCATATCGGAGCAAATGTTAGCAATCTTACCGATTTGCATTATGAAAGTACAGACGGTCTTTGCAACATCTATGTTGTCATGGTGGACTGGGGATTTACCAAAGCCACTAGCAATATACATGATTTTAATAAAATCTTCACTAACATAAGCAATAGAGAACTCAATATATTCGATATTGCAAGTCCAGGCAATAACATGAGCAATAGAGAATAAAATGCCTGGTCAAAAAAAAAGAGAATAAAATGAGCAATAGATTTTAAAAACATACCCAAAATTGCAAGTCCAGGCAATGATTTGATATTACTTCTTTAGTTTTTTGAATCGTCTAGATGTTTTCATACATGAACTTACGTATAGCCATGTTGAAGCAATCACTTTCCAATGGCTCATCTTTCTTTAGTACTGATTGAAGCTATTTGAGGCTCAAGCTAATAGAGTGCGGCCTTAAACTTTATACCCATACTTTCCTGCCAATCAATAAGAAAACAAGTTAATGCATGTTTGAACTACGTGTATATAAAATGTATTGCACGGGCTTACTCTGTGGCTTCGGTGCAATTAATCTATTGGATGTAGTGCAAAAGGCCGCTTATCAACTCTTGTTTACTCATCATAGATACCTCAGAGAGTAGTAAACTCTATTTTTTGGTTATTTCTTTTGTTTCATTGATGTTCCTTATAGGGATGAATTTCCGTTGATGACTACCCAATATGACAACATCGTTGTCACAGTCTTCGGTATCTTCGCTTTGTTCCCTGGTAGCCATGACCACCTTATTTATTTTCCAACATAATAATACACCAGGTAGTTTGAACATAAAAAGTATATAATATCCTCATACGCATTAAAAAGTAAATTTGTTTTTATAAAAAATAGATAAGATAAATGATCAACTATTTTTTTATTAAAAACCTGTGTAATAGAATGCGAAAGTGAATCTCCTTTCCAATTCTCCGTAATTTTGAGACATGAAAAGTCCACATGAAGAACTACATTGTTTTAAAGTATGAGTACAACTATTAAAAACTAAACAAGAGTACACCAATTAACATATATCATTCATCTTATATTAAAATTTTCATGTAATATTAATATAAGATGAATGATATATTTTAATTGGTGTACTCTTGTTTAGTTTTTAATAGTTTTACTCATACTTAAAAACAATACAGTTCTTCATGTGGACTGTTCATGCTCAAAATTATGGAGAATTGGACAGGAGATTCACTTTCTCATCTATTACACAGGTGCATTTGTTAAAAAAAAATAGTTGACCATATATCTTATCTATTTTTTATAAACCAAATTTACCTTTTAATGCGCAGGAGGATATTACACCTTTTAGGTTCAAAGTGCCCGGTGTATTATTATGTTGCAAAACAAATAAGGCGGTCATGACTACCGGGGAACAAAGCGAAGATACCAAAGACAGTGACGACGATGTTGTGATATTGGGTAATCGTCAATGGAAATTCAACTCTATAAGGGACATCAATGAAACTAAAGAAGTAAACAAAAAATATAGTTCACAAATATCTATGGTATCTGCGATATGTAAACAAGAGTTGATAAGCGGCCTTTTGCACTACATCCAACAGATTAATTGCGTCGAAGCCACGGAATAAGCCAGTGCAATACATTGTATATACACACGTAGTTCAAACATTCATGAACTTATTTTCTTATTGATTGACAGGAAAGTATGGGTATAAAGTTTTAGGCTGCACTCTACTAGCTTGAGCTTCAATCAGTACTAAAGAAGGATGAGCAATTGGAAAGTGATTGCTTCAACATGGCTATACGCAAGTTCATGTATGAAAACATCTAGACGATTCATAAAACTAAAGAAGCAATATCGAATCATTGCTTGGACTTGCAATTTTGGGTATGTTTTTAAAATATATTGCTCATGTTATTCTCTATTGCTCATGTTATTGCCTGGACTCGCAATATCGAATATATTGACTTCTATATAGCTTATGTTAGTGAACCATTATTTTATAATCATGTATATTGCTACTGCCTTTGGTAAATCCCCGGTCCACCATGACAACATAGATGTTGCAAAGACCATCGGTACTTTCATAATGCAAATCGGTAAGATCGCTAACATTTGCTCCGATATGCCCGTGGTTTTTATATTATCTTTACTGTTGATCTTTTGTAGATTACTATACCACTATGCCATGCTCTAAGCTTTATCGTGGTCATACTAGACCAAGAAGGTAAAACACTCTATATATGAGACCCTAATCCACTTATTATAGAATATAAAAATAAGCCAAACATGAGATACATCGTAAACTATTAACTATTGCTGATCACTTCAACAAAGCTATGCGGAAGGCATGCCCTAGCTCTAGGTGGAATAAAGACATCACCTTGTGGAGGCAAATAATCGTCAATAATCCGTTTCTTGATAGGTAAGTTATCTTTTAAAAATTTGTTCAAACCAGTAAATTTAATTGTGTAGTGCAAGGGTAGCTAACTATTCAATTTCCTTAGGAATTTGTCAGGTTTTTTTGTTCATCTCTTGATGTGTACATGGAAAAAATGAAGAACTACATTTGCCAGCTATTAATGTAAGACCTGACAATCATTGATCATTCATATATTATATTATATTATTTCAAATATTTAACTTATAAATACATGTGCAGGATGATGGCGAGCTAAGACATTTTCTTTTTGCTAAATCTACTGATGTACCAACAAAATGAGTGTGAAAGCAACATCCTTAGTGGCACACGAGATTTTCTTAAGTGTATATCACAAATGCACAACATTAGGGTAGTTAATTACCCATATGGAGTAATTTAATTTGAGGTGATCATCCATTAGAAATACCATATATATATTATATATCCTATCAATTATAGAGAGCCAAATATTACCAGTTCATTGAAAAGGTAATTATTCACTATTTTTGTAATAAAGTTATCACTATCTTCGTCTACTCCATTGACCTCAGCCCCTTTCAGCAAGTCAGAAAGAAAAGGGTTTTCATAATACACTTTCCTATCGTTATTTGCTTGCTCCCTCATACAATGTATGTATGCACTGATGATCTATTGATTCAGTTAAAAATCTATAATTACTAAAGAATATCTTGGCAATTAAATTCTAACGTTGCGTAGTTGTACTTACATCATCGTTCACAAATTCATCTTCAGAGAGAAGGCTCATTAGGTGATTTTTCCAGACAAGAAATTCTCCCATGTCCACCATTGTACAGTTTTCAGTAGAATATTCAATCGATAATTGAGCCATTATATCAAGAACACTCGTAGTTTAATGGGATTCATA